TGTCCTGAAAGGAAATGATAAGGGTTTTTGTTCTGGTTCATCCCATATTAACTTTGAAAATAAAGCCCAGTGTCCTTCAGGTCCGTCCTTTCACAACTCCTGCAGCTTTGGTCCAGAGGAAGGCATATGACATAAGGTATCAGTTGCCAATGAAGACCATTTAGTATTCCAATATGTCTACAGCAGGGATGTCCAAACTCCGGCCCTCCAGCTGTGGTGGAACTACAAATCCCATGAAGCATTGCAAGATTCTCACAGCCACAGACATGACTCCTGGAGAGAGATGCATCATGGGATTTGTAGTTTCACCCACAGCTGCAGGGCCGGAGTTTGGACATCCCTGGTCGCAGTGCGTATGAGCTGAGATGGAATAGGGAGGGCCAGAGATCCAATGTGCTATGTCTTTTGGTGTATGGGGGAGATAGGGAAGTAAAGCAATGGGCGTTGGGTGGGGAGCCTTGGATGAGACTCGCCCCCTTTTTGTTTTTACATGTGACATTTCATTAATTTCACCCGTGCGTTCGGAAAAAAATGGCATGTCACTGCAAACCACCACGAGGCAGCGTTGTAGTATGAACGGGGCACATAGGAAACAATTTTCTACATGTCCTTTCGGTGACTGGCATTTATCAGGCGCATCATAGTGTGAATGAGCCCCAAGTTTGTCTCCTACTTTTTTAAATATCTGTGTTCTCACTCTCTATATTCAATCTTAGTTTTACTCGTATATAATTTAATACATGGATAAGGGCTCCTGGAGCACTATGGGCTAGCTATAAAGACAGCAAAGCAGATGCTGTTTGCTTTGCAGTTCCATTGTGCTGTGGTTGTATAGCATAGTGTGGAGTATGGAATACACAACATGATGTATGAAGTTTGTATGCTTTGTACATTACATACCTCTTGTTGCCAGAGTGCCGGGATCAGAACCATGTAATGGATAGCACAGTGAAACGAGTGCAGCGAGCGGTCCGCAGTATTTAACACTCAGCATGGAGTATATTTGTATGTATCGGCGCAGAAGATTCCTCTTACGCTGGTGGTCAGTGGGAGAAGGGCCACAGAAAGCTAAAGTGGTAAGCTGCTGGTCTTGCACAGCTTGCTCTGCCAAGTGCCAAATTATGCAGGTGCCACCAGGCTGTGGATAAATCGGTCTACATTAGTGATGGTCGGCTTGCTTGATATAAGAGGGCAGTTGTCGGAGACTGGGGGCATGCTATAGGAGTTGTCGGAGACTGGGGGCATGCTATAGATGTCGGAGACTGGGGACATGCTATAGATGTTGGAGACTGGGGACATGCTATAGGAGTTGGAGACTGGGGACATGCTATAGGAGTTGGAGACTGGGGCCATGCTATAGGAGTTGGAGACTGGGGCCATGCTATAGGAGTTGTCGGAGACTGGGGGCATGCTATAGGAGTTGTCGGAGACTGGGGGCATGCTATAGGAGTTGTCGGAGACTGGGGGCATGCTATAGGAGTTGTCGGAGACTGGGGGCATGCTATAGGAGTTGTCGGAGACTGGGGGCATGCTATAGGAGTTGTCGGAGACTGGGGGCATGCTATAGGAGTTGTCGGAGACTGGGGACATGCTATAGGAGTTGTCGGAGACTGGGGACATGCTATAGGAGTTGTCGGAGACTGGGGGCATGTTGGGGAGTCGGTCTCTATATGACCAGAGCTGCCATATTGCTGTAATATTATGTCAGGCCTCAGACTTCTCCTCTGTAGGGGAGGAAGTTCTGTTGTGTGATATTCTGTCTGTCTGATAAGACTCGGGAATGCCTCACACATCAGCTGCTCAGTGCAATCCGGGGCCGAAAAACCATCAACAGGAACTGAGTAAGGATCGGCCACAGAGACAGCGTGGATGTAGAACTGGCTCCTGTCCAAGACACAGAGCGATGAGACAATCCAACGTCTACGCACAGAACACGATGGACTTTATTATTCACAACGTGCACCAAAAAAAGCAAAAATACAAACCAAAATAGCTGAGCGGCTCAAGCAATGCATTGTCCAGGTTTTGGATTCAGCACTGAAAATTTGTATGTAAATGTATGGACTCTGCACAGGAACGCTTCCCTTGTCCTGTATGCCGGGTGTCATTCTCAGTATCTCCTCTTATTCTGTATGTGTGGTCTCTGCACAGGAACGCTTCCCTTGTCCTGTATGCCGGGTGTCATTCTCAGTATCTCCTCTTATTCTGTATGTGTGGTCTCTGCACAGGAACGCTTCCCTTGTCCTGTATGCCGGGTGTCATTCTCAGTATCTCCTCTTATTCTGTATGTGTGGTCTCTGCATGGTATCACTTCTCGTCCTCTGTATGCCGGGTGTCATTCTCAGTATCTCCTCTTATTCTGTATGTGTGGTCTCTGCACAGGAACGCTTCCCTTGTCCTGTATGCTGGGTGTCATTCTCAGTATCTGTTCTTATTCTGTATGTGTGGTCTCTGCATGGTATCACCTCTCGTCCTGTATGCTGGGTGTCATTCTCAGTATCTCCTCTTATTCTGTATGTATGGACTCTGCACAGTACCACTTCTCTTGTCCTGTATGCAGGGTGTCATTCTCAGTATCTGTTCTTATTCTGTATGTGTGGTCTCTGCATGGTATCACCTCTCGTCCTGTATGCTGGGTGTCATTCTCAGTATCTCCTCTTATTCTGTATGTATGGACTCTGCACAGTACCACTTCTCTTGTCCTGTATGCCGGGTGTCATTCTCAGTATCTGTTCTTATTATGAATGTATGGACTCTGCACAGTACCACTTCTCTTATCCTGTATCCCGGGTGTCATTCTCAGTATCTCCTCTTATTCTGTATTTATGGACTCTGCACAGTATCGCCTCTCGTCCTCTATGCCGGATGTAATTCTCAGTATCTGTTGTCTTGCATCCTGGAAGTGATTTGTGGCATTGTACAACTTCTCACGTCTGCTGCAAACTCTCCCATTTACCTAGGCACACAATGAACAATTCTCACTCCCTATAAACATTTTAGTCACGCCAATTTTTCACCATTTATCACCATGTAAACTGTTCAAGACTCGCATCTCTCTCTGTGTCCTGGGGACCCGTCACTTATTTATAGGGTTTGACATCTAGTGACAGATCCTCTTTAATGCAGGGTAATGGTAGCCATGTTTGGATCTCCTTATCCTGGGGTTGGTTGCTCATTTGGCATTCCTCTGTCCTAGGGATCCCTGTTGTTTTTATATGTGGAGTCAGAGATTCAGTGACTGGTACTCTTTAATGAAGGCTGATGGTAGCCATGTTGGACCTTATTCTACTAGGACTGGTTCCACTCTCAACATCTCGCTCTGTCCTAGGGACCCCTTTTTGTTTTATTTGTAGAGTTTGACATACACTATCATGCCAAAAGTATTGGGACGCCTTTACACGCACATGAACTTTAATGGCATCCCAATCTTAGTCCGTAGGGTTCAGTATTGGGTTGGCTCCGCCCTTTGCCGCTATAACAGCTTCAACTCTTCTGGGAAGGCGTCCACACGGTTTAGGAGTGTGTCTATGGGAATGTTTGACCATTTGTGAGGTCAGGTACTGATGTTGGAGGAGGAGAAGGCCGTGCTCGCAGTCTCCGCTCTAATTCATCCCAAAGGTGTTCTATCGGGTTGAGGTCAGGACTCTGTGCAGGTCAGTCAAATTCCTCCCCCCCAAACTCCCCCATCCATGTCTTTATGGACCTTGCTTTGTGCTCTGGTGCGCAGTCATGTTGGGACAGGAAGGGGCCGTCCCCAAACTCCTCCCACAAAGTTGGGAGCATGAAATTGCCCAAAATGTCTTGGTATGCTGATGCCTTAAGAGTTCCCTTCACTGGAACTAAGGGGGCCAACCCCTGAACCCCCCATAATCCCCCCTCCACCAAACTTTACACTTGGTACAATGCAGTCGGGCAAGTACCGTTCTCCTGGCAACCGCCAAACCCAGACACGTCCATCGGATTGCCAGACAGATAAGCGTGATTGGTCACTCCAGAGAACACGTCTCCACTTCTCTAGAGTCCAGTGGCGGCGCGCTTTACACCGCGGCATCCCACGCTTTGCATTGCACTCGGTGATGTAAGGCTTGGATGCAGCTGCTCGGCCATGGAAACCCATTCCATGAAGCTCTCTACGCACTGTTGTTTTGCCAATCTGAAGGCCACACGAAGTTTGGAGGTCTGTAGCTATTGACTCTGCAGACAGTTGGCGACTTCTGTGTACTGTGCACTTCAGCATGCGCTGACCCCGCTCTGTCATGTTACGTGGCCGACCACTTCCTGGCTGAGTTGCTGTTGTTCCCAGTTGCTTCCACTTTGTTATTATACCAGTAACAGGTGACCGTGGAACATTTAGTAGCCAGAAAATTTCACGAAGTGCCTGAATCCAATGATTTGGAGGGGTGACACAATACTTTTGGCAATATAGTGACCAGTCCTCTTTAATACAGAGTAATGGTAGCCATGTTGGACCTCCTAGCACTGATTGCACACTTGGTATCTCCCTTTGTCCTAGGGACCCCTGTCATTTATTTATAGAGTCTGGGATGTAGTGACAGGTTCTCTTTAGTGGTAGCCATGTTGCACCTCATTGTCCTGGTGCTGGTTGCACTCTCGGCATCCAGTCGAAGTCGTATTCTTCTATCTTATTGGGCTGGAGTAAGTCTGGGTTGTATGATGGCAGAAGAATGTGAAGAGCGCCTTCTCGGAGACGCGGTGTTCTGTCTGCGTCTGGGGGTCTGTTTCTCTGCTGCTAGACAACAATGTCAACAGCGTCTTCTAGGAAATCTTTCAAAGTGAGACTTCCGAGAACTATCGCTCCAGGTCGGTGACGGTGATCCCACCTACCAGTCCGTCCAGACTCCTGTGGGTAGGAATAGTCCGTGTCACTGGATTAGTCCATCACCGGTAATATTGGATCGCTGCGCACAGATACTGATTGATGCAGCAGATCAATGGCGACTGTGATCAATATATCACAGGTGCAGATTACAGGCCGCAGCATGGTGTATCCCGAGGTCGGTATGGAGGTTCTGCTCGAGAACCTGGAGGTAGTAAACACTGGACTAAAAGTGTAACAACATCTCCCTGCATGTCCTCCACTGAGATCCCTGAGTTCCTCTGCTGCGGTGGCAGATGGGACTTCTATCTTTCCATTGACTGATCCATGCAGATAGTGTCCTGACTGGGATTCAAACAGGCCCCCTCCCCCTCCCCCCATTGCTGCAAAGCAGATGTACTAACCACTAAGCCAATGTGCTGCCCGGATAGCTTGATTCGTATGTGCTTCTACCTGCAATTGTTTAAGTTGGTGACAGAAACCTTCGTACAGATAATACAAGAACAGACCTTGTCCTAAAATGCAATACAATTGGAATGTGTTGTCACTTCCTCAGGGTCTGATGGGTTTGCAGCACTTGTATGCCCATCAGCCTGGAACCAGTTCCAGGCAGGGCAGGATTTATTCTCTCTGCTGCCCCAAGGCCAGGTTCCTCAATGTGTCCCCCTCCACACCAACCCCCCCCCCCCATGGAGAATGGCAGACCTGCAGGCTGCATACAAATTATCTCGATGACATTACCGGGATCACTTGTGCAAAACAAGCGGCGTCTTCCCCGCTGTACATTTAGCTCTGCTTGCCCAAAGCAGGGCTAAATGTAGAAAGCTACACGCAACTGCATGTCCCGGGCATCGGGAGATAGGAATTCCACACCCCTGCTGCCCCTCTACTCCCTGCTACCCCAAGGCCGGGCCTTTGTTGGCCTTGTGGGAAATCCAGCCCTGGTTACAGGTTAACACATATGTCACCCCTGTTGCATTACATGGGGTCCTACATCCTGTTTTGGCTCCAGAATAATGTCGGCCTGATAGTTGGGGTCCCAGCATGGAATAAGTGGGGCGTCCCTTCATTAAACCTCCAGCCGGGGAAGGGTTAAACCAAGTTTATTTATATCGGGTTTAATTAATCTTGTATTTTTATAACGGCCTCGGGCCAGGGAGGGATTTGCAGTATTTACTCGAGTCATTAAATCTTTAATTAGTCTCACTTCTTCCTGAGGCCTTGAGGGTGACGGCGGCGACTCGGCTGCAGAAACCTTCGTACAGATAATACAAGAACAGACCTTGTCCTAAAACTTTCCTTAAAGTCCAACTGAGCTTTGAATCGGCCGAATACATAACCAGGAGCATTACATCTAAAAGTGTGCAGAGTCTCCCAGTTCATTAGAAAGCAGCCAAGGCCTGAGTAGAGAAGCCTGTCCCGTGTCAGCATGCTGTAGAAAAAGGACACTTGGTCTGTATGTGGAAGCAGTGGTCTCTCCACAAAGGTCCAACACACCCCCTGACAAGTCAGGCCTATAGCTCTGCAAACAGGAAAGCTCATGCTCCTTGCTGACTGGTAGAGCTCTAGCTCTGACTTGGCATAGGGCGTGTAGGACCTCTGCAGAGAGACCACTTCTTCCATATAAGTAAGAGGGTACAGGCTTTTCTGCTCGGGATGTGGCGGCTTTCTAAAGAAATGAACTGGAAGACTTGGAGCGCCTTTCGAGTTGATGCCCCTGGAATGTATTTAGCCAATTTTGACTAGATGTTCGGGTTGGGCCTTAAATTGCACCTCTCCCCATCACCCCAACCATACTATATACACGTGATACTTTCAGAATCTGCCCCATCAGCTGTTTGTACGCCTCCTTTCGCCACAATGTGAAGCAATAGCAGACTTCACAGCACGCTTACTGAGCCAACAGCTAGGCCGTTATCACCTCCTCCACCCCCTCCGACCTCCAAAGCAACCATATAAACAGAGAATAGTGACGCAGGATTGTCGCAGGAAGGGCAGAGGTGTCTTTGATGGGGATGTCCCGGTATCGGGGCCGATGCAGGGCATTTTCAGGAGTACTTGTACTCCTGAAAATGCCCTGATACTGAAGGCCGATACTGGCCCTTTACATTTTTTAATCGGAACGGCTGCCTTAGATCCCACGCTTGTGGGGTCCTGAGGCAGCCTTTCCGGGGACCTGGCAGTAGCTGTCTTTGACACTGCCTGCAAGGTCCCATGTCTCCTCCTTCTGATTCCTGGTGCACTGCTCGAGGCAGCCCCACACCTTGAATACAGCCTCGGAGCGGGCACGAGACCGGCACCCACTCCATTCGGCTCAGTACGCGCCCATAGAGCAGGCTCAGCACCGCTGGAGAGACCCAATAGGCAGCCCTGGTGACATCTATACGCAGCCCTGGAGAGACTCATTGGCAGCCCTGGTGAGATCTGGATGCAGCCCTGGTGAGTGTGACATCTGGAGTCCAGATGTAACCAGGCTGCGTCCAGATTCTGTACATGCAGCCCTGGTGAGATCTGTACACGCACCCCTGGTGAGATCATGCCCTATATTTTCCCTCCCAGGAATGCTGCACCTTTCCCATTAAGATGCAGCCCGTCTCGGCTGAAGAGCCGATAGCCGACTGCGAAGTCAGCCCAGTTCTCCAGGAAACCAAAACCTTCCTTCTGACACCAGCTCCGGAGCCACTTGTTAAGCTCCCTCAACTCGCGCTGTCTGTCCGGAGTGGCTCTTGGCCTGTATCATTGGTCTGTATTGTTTTGGAAAAAAATGTCATGTCCCTTTTAAGAAAAGGTATCGGTAATTGGTATTGGCAAGTACATGAAGGACAGTACTTGGTCTTGAAAAAGTGGTATCGGGACACTCGTAGTCTTTGATGAGTAGACTCTACTCTTCAGCTTGGCTTTTAGCTCCTCTTCTAGGCTGTTCCAGAGGCAAGATGGTGGCACCTATTGGGGGAATAACTGGGTCTCTGGAGAACCTAGCACCATCGCCATTGATTGGCTCATAGCGGCCTCCAATTCAGATTAGGGGCCTTGTCTGACCCAAGTACGGGTTCCTTTTATTAACACTATTAATATAGAAGAATTTTCATCATTGACGATCCCAAGTACAGAGTCCCTCGCTCCTGCCGTCTCATTTATATCATTGTGTATTGCCAAAGTACAGGTACTCTTTGAAAACCAATTCTCAATCCTAGTGACTATCCTCAGATCTTCATTGAGTTAATTTTCAGTCATTTCAGTAAACCTCCCTTACTGGCTTCAGTACAAGTATTTCTGCGGCTGTATGCATGTATGTGACGGTGTATAAAACATGACGTTACACATACCGGGTTATTTCATGTTGCCGGAGGTATGTTGTGTGGAATGTGGAGTTACGAGTCTCCAGCTGGTGGTTCTCTTCTTCTGCAAAGCTTGTGTGGCTGAGTGATGGGGAGGAAGTACGCAGATGCAGTCTGTTCTTTGTTATTGATGGAATGGATATCTTTCTTTTCTATCGAGGAACACAGGAAGTCATAAACCTTCGGGTTATATGGACTAACGTGATCTTTCTAGCAAATTGTCTTCTTTTATGAAGACTCTCCCTTCTCTTCTGTGACCCACAAGGTTGTATCTCTTGTGGCCATTGTCTACGCCAGGCAAATGTCTGAGCTGGCGGTTTCACCCTGCGAGGGATCCTTTATAGTCTTGGAGAAGGACAAGGAGGACTTCTTTTCTACTCAAGGTCTTCCCTTCTCTCCACCTTAACCCGGGCATTGTTCTCCTGTACCTGTGTCCAGCTCCATTTCACCCAAAAGGAAATTTACCTTCGTTCTATGTCCAGTGGTGTACTTTGGTTTGGGGCTGCCCTAGTCAAGACAAAACTCGGCCCCCCGCACTAAATTTGCCCCACCCCATCCTGTTTTTACCCATCCTGTTTTTAAGTTGTTTTTTGCGTGACCTGTCAGTTGCTGGATACAGCGCACATACTGTATCCAGCTTTTGACTTGTTCCGCTATTAGCGTCGCAGGAAAGCTGGGGTCTCAGCTGGGCTCTGCGGTGTCTCAAGTGGGCTCTGCAGGATCTGTGGTGGGCTCTGCGGGGTCTCAGGTGGGCTGTGAAGGATCTCTGGTGGGCTTGAAGGGTCTCGGCATACAGAGCCCACCATAGACCCCTTCAAAGCCCACCACAGGTCCTAGACAGCCCCCCCCTGAGACCCTGCAGAGCCCACCACAGATCCTGCAAAGCCCCCCTAAGACCCCGTGGAGCCCACCATAGACCCCGCAGAGCCCGCCTGAGACTTTCAGGTGAGCTGTGCAGAATCTATGCTGGCTCTGCAGGGTCCCTTTACCAGCACAGTGTGATCCTCTTACCTGCATCTGCTGTCTCAAGCCGCCCGCTGCTGGACCCGGCCTCCTTTACCACCGGACGCATTGGTCCTCTTGTGCTGCGGGTACCCGGCCTCTTCTGCCGCCCGACTAAAGCTTTGGGGACCCGGACCGGCCCTCTCCTGCTGCTCCTCCTCGACGCCGCCTCCTCCTCGATTAGGCAGCCGAGGCTCCTGGGTACTGCTCCCCTCACTGTTCTAGGGGCGGCATTTTTGCCACCCAAGGCAAATGCCTTGTTTGCCTTGCGGCAGACAGCCCCTGTCTATGTGTTTTGGGTTGTGTGAGTCAGGAAGGGCGCCCAGCTTCTTGTTCTACCATCTCTAGGTGGCTTGGACAGACCACCATTTAGACTTAGTCTTAAGGATTGGGTTCTCCGCTCTTCCAGCCGACTCCACTAGGGCAGCCAGTGCCTCTTGGGTTTTCTGGCATTGGTCCTCTGTTTTCCAGATTTGTAAGGCTGCCACCTGGTCTTCTCTTCCCACCTTCAGGTGGATGTTTTCGTGCCTCATCTGAATCCAGCTTTGGGTCCCTCAGTCAGGTCTTTGAGCTGCAGGCGGTCCATAGTTCTTGTTTTATGTCGGGCCTGTTAGCAGTTGCTTTGCTGTGCTGCCCACCCCTCAGTTGGACCATTTCGGACGTCCTGAAGGTGTAGGACTTCCCGTGTCACTCAAAGAACTCCCAAGAAAAGGGTTTTAGATTGAATTTGATGGCATCTTACTTATACACGGGACACGTTGCTGGAAGTTGATCTGAAATCTTCCACAGCTATTGACCACAAATAATGAATGCCATTGTCCTGTGAGGAAAACCGAATTCTGATTGTACATTAAACTACCGTGAGCGGTCAAACGATGATGGCTACACACAGGGGCGTAACTAGAAATCAAAGGGCCCCATAGCAAAATTTTGTGATTTCTAGTTATGCCCCTTGCAGAGCCCACCTGAGAGTGACCCTGCAGAGCCCGCCATAGACTCTCTATGGTGGGCTCTGCAGGATCTCAGGTGGTCTGCACACCTCTTACCGGTCAGCCCCGATCCGCTGTCCACCTCCATGGTCGCTGCCGGGCCCTGCCTCCCCTGTCGCCGGGCCCTGCCTCCCCTGTCGCCGGGCCCTGCCTCCCCTGTCGCCGGGCCCTGCCTCCCCTGTCGCCGGGCCCTGCCTCCCCTGTCGCCGGGCCCTGCCTCCCCTGTCGCCGGGCCCTGCCTCCCCTGTCGCCGGGCCCTGCCTCCCCCACAGCTGCTGCACAGATCACTGACAGGTTGTCGGTAATCTAACAGCGACATGTTCCTCCTCACACCCGCCAGTGACAGCCAGCAGCCTGAGATGCCATAGCGGCCCAGACAGCACGCACAGCATCAGGGGGATGTCCTGGCCGGGCCCCATAGCGGCCACCTGGGACTCCATTTTTGAGAGATCCTTACCTAATTTAACAGGTCTGCACCACTGCAGGAGCCATCACAAATCCATGTGATGGTGTCACCCTTCCTGTGTGGGTACATGTAAGGTAGACAAATGACAAATCCAGTCTGTGTGTTTTACATGCAAGTTTGGCTGGAAATGCTACAGCTTGTACTAATGTACTGATACGTCTTTTAGCAGTAGATGGCGCTGTGGTGCAGTCTTGGTATCTATGCCTATGCATGTTTCTCTATGATGTATGTTTCCTAAACTTGCTGTATTCCTGTATGCATACATGTAATGTCCTGCTCAGCAAGTACAACTTAATTCAGCATTCCTCAACATCTCAGTGCTAAACGCATAACCAACAAGTATAACATATATGTATGTATGTATGGAAGTGTGTGTTTATTTATATGTCTATATTATAGGAGATTTTTATACATCAAGTTGATCCCTAAAAGATCCCTTCCCTTTGTGCCCCACAGGTCACTGCGAAGACCGCCTTTATATTCATCTTACCTCAGTATAACAGCAGCCTCCAGTCTCTGGGTAAGTGAAGACTCTTCATTCTCATGATACTGCCACAGAGCTTCTGGCCGGGTCTAAATGAAGACTAAGTGCCATGTTCATATTCCTCCACTAGAGGGCAGCCAATGTCTTGTATTAGCACGGCTCACTTTTGACAGGTAGGTCAATGCTACACTTACCCTGCTAACCCCAAGGGCCCGTTTTTTGGCTTCACAGAGGCCCTGTACTCGATATTCCCATTGGGAAGAAACACTTTCACTTCCTGTCTTGTAGGGGCAGCAGGAAGTGAGGCAAAATCCCTTTTTAAACAATTGTTCCCATGGAAGAGTTCCCTTCTATTTCTGCTTTGGTGACATAAAAAATTGGAGAGCGAGCATCAGTGAGCGGTCTTTATTACAGGGAGGGGCGGAGACAAGACCAGTCACCCTGCACAAGGAGAGAGCAGCAGTGAGCTGTCTTTATTACAGGAGGGGGCGGAGACAAGACCAGTCACCCTGCACAAGGAGAGCGAGTGGCAGTGAGCGGTCTTTATTACAGGAAGTCTCACTGGGATTACTGTACTGTATACTGGAAGAAATACACAAAGCTCACCAAGATTCAGGGAAGAACACACATGACTCTTGTATGAGGACAAAATGTGCTGATCCCGGAGTCCTGTTTTATTTATGTACCTCGGTCTCCTCAAAGCCCCGTCATATGTTATATTTGTTCTGTTACAATGTTCCTGATTCATGAATGTCGCTCTCCTTGGATTGCAGAGGGTGAGATTGTCTACTATCACTACGGGGCGAAAGATCTGGTCACTATTCTGTTCTACATCATCATAGCAATCATACTACACGCCATTGTACAGGAGTATGTTCTAGATGTAAGTATCCAAGGGAAGCATGTTGTATGTGGGCCTGAGGGAAGCATGTTGTATGTGGGTCTGAGGGAAGGGTCCCTGGCTTAAAAAGTGTGAAAGCCACTCACGCTACATGATAGCCAGGCAGTTAGCATTTTCAGCACATTTGCATGTAGAGGGAAGTAATGCGGTGTCATTGTACAGCACTAGGGAGGGACTCTATGGGGAGGGTTCCTAAGCTTTTGTTTCCTTTTTATCTCCAGAAAATAAATCGGCGGCTCCACCTCTCTAAGGTAAAACAAAGCCGTTTTAATGAGTCCGGGCAGCTCGCCGCGTTTCACCTGGCCTCCATGTTTTGGAGTCTGTACGTATCGGCCTCGGTGAGTATCCTCTGAATGTTTAAAGCTGAACTGCCGGGTGATCTTTCAGAGAAGAAACGTTATGCCGTTATGTGATAGAAATAATTGCAGGCATTTTTTCAGTGCAGCTAGTAGAAGTCCCCGAGTCTTGCCCAAATCTGCTCCATGTCATCCGTGGCATAGCACACGGGGGGAGGGAGGTCAGAACTTGGAGCCATTCGCTCTGTCAGCCCCAAATTTGGAACATATGCTATTGTCGAGGATGTGCGCCCAATCGGCAGGTTGGGGGCGTGTCCCTGGACCAAGCTGTGCTGCTGTTGCAGTGGTGGCTTCAGATTGGGTCACCTTTTCCAATGACAACTGTGAGAGGCGGGGGTTTTTCCTTTAATTTGAAGAGATTTCTACTCCACGCTTTAATCTAAAGTTTCATCTGCTTAGATTTTGCGTCTCTCTAAAAGGCGTGGCAGTGCATTCAAGTCAATGGCACCGCAGCCACGCCCCCCGTTCACAGTGCGATCGTCGGCACCAGAGCGCGTCACATCAGTACCTGCGTTCCAATCCAGTGCGATCTGGAAAAAACTGCATGCAGACCCGAACCCCTGTAGAAAGTTTATTCGGATGCTGCCCATTCAGCTAGAGCCGGCAGCTGCATGTAAGCAAAAGGGACAGGATGCTGTGACATCACTGACCTTATATGGCAACATGGCTAGATTTTTTTTCAATGACATTGACTAAATATAGCCATATAAGGTCAATTATGTCAGCACAAGCATGCCACCCCTTTATTTATGCGGGGCAGGGAATGCCCCAGCCTGCAGCTGATTGAGTGGGTGACCCCATTTGTGTTCTGTGCTCAGAAGAGTTAGGGTCCGAACCTGAGCTCATCCCTAGTGGCAGATTGCCGAGGAATCCAACCACTTGCTGTCTGTTTGTTTTATCCGATAACATATTGGGCATAACTGGCATAACACGCTGGGTAAGCGAAGAGAATAACAGCAGTGCTTGTGCTACAGCGGCAGGGTGGACTAACATGTCTCTAAATCACACCTGGCAAAGAACTGCTGCAGAAAGTCTATTACAAAGGTTTTGATGTGATCACTCAACAAAACATTTGCTGTAATCCCTCCCATATTTATCATTAAATTCCTGTATTCCCTATATCATTACTTTTTATTCCTTGTAAACGCCATCCCTGTCCTTGTCACGCAAACACAGAGAGGGAGGGCAATGCAAACTGGGTAAAAACAATGGCAGCTGGGAAGGGAGACCCAATTGGAAATCATGGGGCCACCACATTTGGTGGGAGACTTATCTCAATCCTTCTACCTCCTCATTTGCCTTTTCCTGTGAGTCTTTCTCCAGAGACAAGAGGGGACGGGCAGGCAGCAGTAAAAATTGAGCATATAATCTTACAGCCATAGGCTGCCCACCCTTCTCCAGAGTGTAGCCATAAAACTCAAAGCAGTACTCGCCAACACCCACCTCACCATCTTCAGTAACAACCTTCCCTGCTTCAGTAGTGCGCACCTAGTTCACTACCTGGTGCCATGATGAAACCTCCTTTGACAACTCAGGGGAACTTCAAGCATGCAAAATTCATGTGTTCATTCAATGGCACCGCAGCCACGCCCCCCCGCCTGCAGTGCTATCTCACCCGCACCAGAGCGTATTCTGGTGCGGGCGATCGCACTGCAAGCACAGGGGTGCCATTGACTTGAATGCACTGCCACGCCGCCTCCTGCCCCAGAACGCAGGGAGCTGGCCAGGATGCGATCCAGTGCGTTCCAGCAGCTAATTGCGCTGGAACGCACTGGGATAGGTGTGAACTGGCCCCTTAATATTTCAGGTCTGTAGAGTTTCTGGTCCACTTCCATATGAAACTTAAAATGTATACTTTTATTTCCTGTTGCAGGAAGGATATTTATCCAATCCAAAGACCCTGTGGGAGAGCTACCCCCACGTCTACTTACCGTAAGTCACTGCACTGACCTTCATCCGCCTTCCACCTGCTCCGTGCCATGTGATGGGGAGGGATCGGAGGGCTGATCTGCTCACCAGTTGGGTGACTTTTGCAGAACTTTGGAGAAAGATTTAAATTTTTGTAATTTCTATGCGACAACTAGATTTATTTTATTTATTTTTTTGGAAATAGAAAAGGAAAGCCTGTGTAGCCCCCATCACCTCCTGTGAGGTGGCTATTAGACATTTAGTGGTTGCCAGGGCTGTATCCAGCCTGGCTGGATTTGTAGTGGCAGTTATCTGGTGAATTCCAGGTGTCTGGCATTGCCTGTACCCCCCTGGGCGGGGTGTAACTCTGTCATATTGTGGACAGCCAATGAGAGGCACTGTAGTCTATGTACAGTACAGCAGCCAATCACTGGGCTTCTCTCAGCCAGTGCTGCATAGGATAGGGTACATATACTGGAGGGATTGGCCATGTGCTCAGACCAGCCATGGGATAGGGCTGGGTGCTGTTCAGCCGGCCCCCCAGGCTAGGCCTGAGGCCTGGGGGTGGGCACAGGCTGGTGTGAGGGAAAGGTTTCCCCGAGGCCTGCGTAACGCAGGCCGAAAGGATTGATTAGATTAGTAATGTCTGCAGCAGACATTACTAATCGCCACTAGATAAACGGATCGGTGATCGTGGCGCCGCTCACAGCCTCCTCCCTGCAACAAGGTAAGCCGGAGAAGGGGGCTGTGTATTTAATTTACGGGTGTTTAACAGGGAATTATATTGTTATATGTGGGGGGTGTTTGGGAGGACTGGGAATTATATTGTTATATGTGGGGGGTGTTTGGGAGGACTGGGAATTATATTGTGGACTAGGAATTTGATATATATATCTAAATGTGTGTGTGTGTGTGTGTGTGTGTGTGTGTATGTATTTTTTCATGTGTATGTGGGGTGTATTATTTTATGTGCAGGGATAGGTTTTTGTTTTTTTTATGTGAAGGGGGGAGGGGGTAGAAAGAGTATAAGTGTATTAGGCTCCATTCACACCTGTATCTTTAGGTGCAATTATGAATTCCTGCATCAGGAACATGCGTTTCCTGCATCAGAAATCCCTAATCTGGCGTTTTAAAAGCGGCCGCTGTCACCCATTCAAGTCAATGATCAGGTGACAGAAGTTGCATATAAACGCCTGCACACCGCATGTAATGATGCGTGATATTATTACATTCCGTTAGGAATCAATCACTCTCCCTGGACGCAATGGTTGTGTATCCAGGGAGAGTGTTTTCTAACCGAATGTAATAATATCACGTATCATTACATGCGGTGTGCAGACGTTTACATGCAGCTGGTGTCACCTGATCATTAACTTGAATGGGTGACAGCGGCCGCGTGTAAACATCAGATTAGGGATTCCTGCTGCAGGAAAATGCAGGTTTCTGATGCAGGAATCCCTAATTGCACCTAAACCTACAGATATGAATAGGGCCTTATTGTGTGTGTTGGGGACCGCAGTACCATATCGCATATAGTTACATTTTATTTTAAAGGAGAACTATGGGGTTAAGGCTTTTCCCCATAGTTCTCCTCATGGTCACCGGAGGACATAAACCAGCGTCCTCCCATGAGCCCAAAGCTCAGTATATAGGGAGCTACAGCTCGCGGTATACTGAGACCGCCGCTGCCGGGACGGATCCCGACATTACTGTTGAGATCCACCCAGCTGCGTGAGTGACAGCTGGCTCTGCTTATCTAGAGGCAGAGCCAGCTGTACCCGCCCCCTCCCCCGTCCGTTCCTCCAGTCAGCGCTGGGGATCGGAGGGGGGGATCCCTGCAGGGTGCCGTGAGTGACAGTCACGGCTCTCTGCAGGGACAGGGTAGAGAAGTGAGCGAGCGACGGTATTAGGGCTGCAACAACTAATCAAATCCATTTTTTAAAATGTATTTAATTTTTTTATCCGATTAACCGATTAATCGAACTTAATAATCGTCCAACTAATCGATTTTAAAAAATAATCGTTAGCTGCAGCTCTAGGCGGTATGCGTTCACTCCTCGATCTATAGAGTCGACGTGTGACAGTTTCATTGTCACACGTCGGCTTGAACTATGAGGCTGAGTCAAAATCACCTCATAGTTCTCATTTTAAAAGTTTGAAATTTGGCGAGCGGCCCCCTGGAGAGAAAAAATTTTGTCGAGTGGCCCTCGAGGGAATTGAATTTGAGACCCCTCCCCTAGACAGACTAGAGATGAACTGGGCATTCAGCGGCTCCTTCGGGGGGGGGGGGGGGGGGGG